TCAGCAACATATTCTCCTTCAAAGGGATGGGAGGAGTGGAATAAAACTTTATAACCACCTTTTCAGTTAGAAAAGAGTCAGTTGGTTTCCTCTTTAACCTTAAACGTTGGGCAACTTTGAGTCTCAATTTAAACAAAGCAAAACAAAACAAAACTGATATCTAAGTTTCGTTTTCATGTAAAGATCCACTGTGGAGGATGTTAGGAAGTTATCTGTTCATTAATTACACAATCAACATAACATATTGAGCTCCTACTGTCTTGAGGGGAAACACCTAGGATATAATGACTGCACTTCAGCTGCTGCCTTTATGGAGTGCAGGAGACAGGCATGCACATTCAAATAATACACTAGGGGTGTGCTCAGGTTGCTGAGCATAAGAGCAGCAACTTGTAGGGATGGCGTTAAAGCTTCCCAGAGGGAAATTCTTTGCATATGGCAAATGTCCATGTGGGGAAAAGACTGAGAAATGCCCTCTATGTTCTGTACAGATTTTCGGCCTGACCTTTCCTTGCATCTTCTGTGGCCTTTGAGACCCTTTCACCTCCATTCTATCGTGAATCCTCTGCAGCTCTTCCAGCATGAGGACCTCTCATTGATCTGTTTTTTGTAGTTCCACAACTGCTGGCAATGCAAGACAATTAAATGGCTCTGTGAAGTTACTGGATATGTCACTAGGCATTAATTTCATCTTGGAACCTTGGGGACTTAAGTCCCTGAGTGACAGGGACAAAGAATCACTTCTCATCTTCCCTGCATTTCTACCCCCAATTTATTTTCCATTGTTCTCAGATGAGGTCCCTTCTGCTGCCTCTTCCTGTACCATTTTCTCTTTTCCTGTTAGGGCTATTTCTTCTTCTAGTGCTATCTGCTTTCTCTGCCTGACTCCCAGCTTCAAGAATAGCTGTACCATTTTCTCTTTTCCTGTTAGGGCTATTTCTTCTTCTAGTGCTATCTGCTTTCTCTACCTGACTCCCAGCATCAAGAACAAGATGGAGACATTCTCCTTCCCATCTCTGCTGCTTGATCTGTAGGGTGGTAAATATTAGTCCTTTGGGGCAATTGACTTAGCATTTTAAAATAAAAGTGGGGGGTAGTGGGGAGATTCCACAATGAAATGATCGCAATGTAAGATTCAAACCACAACTGCATAGAACATCTGTTTCGAAGTTTGGTGTTGTCTTTGTAACCCAAGAGAAAAGAAGAGTAAGATCAGAGAAAGGCCTTAGCCTTCCACCAGGGTGAAATCACCTGCGGCCATGGGGTGGGATGCGGTGCAGAGCTCCTTGCTGGGAGCCTGGTTCTCTTCTTCTGCCATGTTATTAAAGAGCATTGGTTCTCCTGGCATCTGTGTCATGTCATGATTCCTCTACCTCCTCAAGAGGCCAACTTAAGGCAACTTAAGTTGGAATCCAAATTACACGATCCCCAAAGGCACATAGGGTAACCTGCTTTCTGCATTACCCAGGCCCAGCAGGGAGCACGAATCCCAGGAAACATGCTCAGTCTGCTTTGGGGAAGCAAGCTGACACCGGGCGTGGAGGAGGCCTCGGAACCCTGGAGCCTTGACTGGTAGCTCTCTGCCTCCTTCTGTGAGTCGAGTCTGGATTTGCTGCAAGAGCAATACGTGATGTCTAAACTGGTGGATTTTAAAATGTCGCTTGGTCTGTGGATTAGGCCAATCCACCCCACATTGTTGGGGCTGCAGATGCAGTTGAATGGTTCATAATTATAGCCTAAAGAAGCTGCAGACAGCAATAGAGCCAACCCAGACCCTTTTTCTCCTTACAGCCCATGCCAAGCTGCCTCCCACGGGAATGAGAGTGTGGTTATCCTGCAATGTACTTGCCCAAAGACAATATATCGGTTCAGAGAATATTGTTGGGTTTCTAGAAATCAAGCCCAATCGTCTATCTGTTCCTCTGTCCATCGTGTCTCGAGGGTATCTAATAACAGACCAAGCTGTGTAGCAGTGACTACTCCTGCCCAAGTGATACCTGTAAGTTCAAGGAGATGCCGTGGAGAAAATTGCAGTCAGGGGATCTGGGTCTAGTACTGACATTGCCTGTTCTGGATTGTGTGGCCCTGGGCAGAATGATTTCCTCTCACTCAAGCTCACTTTTCCCTTCTGATAAATAGGAGGTCTAGACTTGGAGATCATTAAGAAATTCCCATCTAGTTCCAACATGTGACAAATACAAGACCTAAGGTTTTGTCTCCAAAAGAGCACCACAAATGTGATCTTTCCGAATTTGAGCTCTCAGTTTTCTGTGACTCCTAAAACAAATACAAATCTGCAGTCTTCTCCAATCAGGTAGTGCTGGAATTTGTCAAGTGAGGCTGAAGCTGGGCCGGTTCCCAATTCAAGAACTGAAGAAGGGGCTTGAAGAGAGTTTTTAAATTAAATGTGCTAGTTGTCTCTCTCTTTCCCTGGAGGCAGTTTGGGTAAATTGAGGGTCCATCTGCAAAGGGACAGACATAGAGAGATTTAAAGTGATCTTCTGCATATTCTACCTCATACTGAATCTTTTTTTCTTTCTTTCCAAGTTTTTAATCTTTTTTTTTTTTTGGTGGCTGGCCTGTATGAGGATCTGAAGCCGTGACCTTAGTGCTATAAGCCTGCACTCTAACTAACCAAGCTAACTGGCCAGCCATACTAGGTCTTAATAAAACTAATAATGATTTAACATTAATTGAACACTTTTTCCAACCTCGACACTGTGCTGATGTTTTGCATGCATTATCTCATTTAATCCTCCAAATACCCATAAAAGTTGGGTACTATTATTACACCTACTTTAAACATGGAGGAACCCGTGGTAAGTCAGCCAGGTCGTTGATAGAGCTATAATTTGAATCTCATTTGAGAGGCAGCACTACTCACTATCATCTTTATTATACAGAGGTTCCAGGGCAAGGTCGTTGATAGAGCTATAATTTGAATCTCATTTGAGAGGCAGCACTACTCACTATCATCTTTGTTTTATTATACAGAGGTTCCAGGGCAAATAGGCCCCAAGTCCTCCCCTCCCGCTACCCTCCCCCTCCTTTTCCCCTCCTAACTGCAGCTCCTCTTATCACTCATTGTTTATTGTACCTTCTGAACAATAGCTAATGAGTCTGTATTACATGGTAGGGAGAGCCAGGGGTGGTTTTATTCCCTGAGACAGAGATGCGGTTGTGACACACAAAGGTTAAGTGGCTTTGGTGAGGTCACAGAGCCAGCCTGAAGTCAGCAACAGCACCATCTGAGTCCTCAGCGTGGTTTCCTGAACTGACCCTAAGGCCTTTTGGCATCCGAGTTTAATTAAGAGAGTTATTCTAATTTTCCTTCCTATCTCTGATTTTCCATTTTATTGCTGCTTGATATTGAAGCCCCAGGCATTTTTCTTCCCCAATGTGCTTTTTAATGACTAAACTTATCACGTAGGAACCACTTGCTTTAGAGTTAAGCTTTCAAAGCCTGTTTCTGTGTATGACAGACCTGTTGCCTTTTCTCAGAGAAAAGCTAGACCACAAATGCAGCTCAGACAGGTTGTTAATGAGGGCTCTTTTTTTTTTTTTAATCTTACATTTATACCAGTAAATCAACATCTGTGAGTCATAAATTCGTTCTGGATCAGCCGTTAGTGGTCTGAATGTTTTTGCACCTACCTTCAATAAAGCATATTTTAGCTCGAAACTCAGAGATTCTTTGTTTTCTCGAAGTCCAAGACTCAAGAATACACAAATAACATTCTAGCACACTTCTGGAGACGGAGGGTCTGTCTTCCATGATTGTTTGAAATAAGGTCTAATTTTATGTTTCTTTTTCATTGAGATTGGGGTGGAATTGAGAGTAGGAGGATAAATAAAGGAAAAAGTTGCTGTTTTTTACACATTTGTTTAATGAAATTCCTGTGTAAAGGTCAGTATTTTCTTGATATCATTAACATCTAGCTCCACACTCCTGTCCCACAACTCCCACAGCATTTTCTTTACCCTATTGACTTGATGTTCCTCATCTAAAGAGTCTCAGCCATTGGTTGGTTGTAATTAGCTAAAGTCTAGGAATGTTTAAAAATATAGTTTTGTTTTCTCCCAAGTGCAAGAGAAATAGACTGCTGCCTTACAAGCAAAATCTAAGAAGTATTTCTTTAATTGAATTTTTCCCTGAGTGCCTTAAAAATCAGATACAGCCTTGATGTATTTTGCCCAAGTGAATGAAAGGCAAGACTTGGCTGCTCTTGTTTTGCTAGTGGGGAAACTGAGGCACACGTGAACATGAGTGAACATGAGTGCCGAGAATAAAGGTTTGAGTGAACATGAGTGCCGAGAA